AATGCAGGGAGAAATGCAGACTCCTGACTTTGTGGCTCATGCCCATTTGGACCTAGACACAGATGACTAGAGTGAAACAGAACCCAACAGATAAAAAAGAAGATGATCCATGTTGTGAGATAGTGTTGATTGCAGTAACCTGCTAGCCTGCTCTGGACTGGACTTTGCTTGTGTATGTAGGCACTTAAAATTTCCAAATTGAACAAAAGAGTCTTCAGCAAAAAAGACATACTTGTTTCCTCAGAGTACTGGTTGGATAGGGATGGGCAAATCAGAAACTGAGTATCTAAAATGGGGGTATTAAGACATGAGGCATGAAGTAGTTGGCTTACACACTTTCATGAATGTAGTTATTAATAAGACAATTGTAAGAAGGAGAAACTCACCATATATATGAATGAAATACAATGTAAATGAAAAACTGTATAAAACACAATGTGCAAGCAAGAAACACAATGTATATGAATGTGTGTGCAAACCAATAAAAATATGTAATTAAAAAAAAAAGTTAAAGAAGGAATAGAAGGTAGTAGAAGATTTTAAGAAATCTATGCCAAACTGGCCAAAATCCAAAGACTACAAATAAACATAAGCATATGCAAATGTGTACATTGTTTATCTTTTCATTTATGTAATAAATATGAGGAGAGAGAATACTGTCAACTATTATCAGAAATATTGGGGATGTTTTAATAGATTTTAATGGGTTGAGGGAACTTTCTGATTATAGACTTACACAATTATTTTATAATGTTATAGAAATGAAAAAAGGTATTTTATTGTTATAAGTTATGTATTTTAACAAGTATTCAAGTCATATCTTAAAAGTTATTTTAAACCTCTTGGTCAGAATCCACACCTGGGAGAAGATATTTAACCTTGATGCTCTTATTATTTTCCTCAAAAGGCCCAAAGGATCATTTTCCTCTAAGACTTCTGGGACATCTAATTGTGGAAACCCAATGAGGTATAAATATTCAAGCCTGGAGAACCTTCAAAGGGTTCAGTTCAGAAATTCTAGGTAGAGTCCCCAGTTATTGTAGAACACTTGATGCTCAGAGTCTCAGTCATGCACGGAAGTCTGGTCTTTGCTGATTCCATGGTAAGTGTAATTCCTGAAGATGCTTACTTTCTTAAAATGCCAAACCTTTCACACAACAAACATGTTTTTATGCTTTAATTTATCAGAAGCTCATTTCTTTTTCATTCAAATCAGAATGCAGGTTCATATGTTTGGAAATAAGGAGGAAAACTTTCCTTAATTGTGACACATTTAAAATTAATTTAAATTTTAAATTTAAGTTACTTTAAAATTATTTCACTTAGAGATACTGGAATCTAGGCAAGAAAAGTTCCAATGGAAGTATTATAATAGGTTTTGTCTTTTTAAGAGACTTAGTCAGAACTGCTTCCAGTACTGATGTTCTTTGTGTGAGTGGAAATTAAGCCAAGACTAAACTGAATCAAAGCTGTGGAAAGAATTCCCAGAAAGAACTTCACTATAGCATTTTCCCTCACAACTCCATTGTTGCTGCTGTGAGCTCTAGAGTTGATTTTTACTTGGAGCAACCTTATAAGAGAGAGAGTAAAATTGCTCCACAGGATTTTCTAGATGATAACATTTATGGGGGGCGGGGCAGATAGTTCTTTGCTCTTGCAGAACCATTGTTGTTCTTGTTATTTCCTCTCAAGTTGTAACTGACCCATAGCTGACCCTCAGATGGGTTTTCAAAGACAGTAAATCACATGGGAAGGAGATTGCCTATCCTTTTCCAGCAGAGCAGCAGGTAGATTTGAACTGTGTACTTTTGTGATTGCAGCGCAGTTTCTCACCCCTAGGCTACCAGAGCTCACTGTAGAACCACTAGGTGGGTACAAACTAATAAACTTCCACTTAGCACTTGAGGTTTAACCATTGTACCACCAGGGTTCCTTACAGCTCTACTGCCATAGTAACTCTGTGAGAAGAATCTGGCTATCTCCAAATATAGCACCCCTTACGTAGAGGGTTCCCTTATTTAAAGCAAAAAATCAACTCTAAAAACTTTACACATTCATTCTATTTTGCTCCTCACATACTATTAAGAATAAATTTTCACTCTCACTTGAAAATTGGCTCCTTTTTGCTTCTTCATGACTTGTTTAAGCTGTTTATGCAACTATTCCTCGGAATTAAGGTGAGTGAGCGAGGTTTTGATGTCAAACAGACATGAATCCCAATTTTGGCTATTAGTTCTATCAATTTTTAATTTTCATGGCCTCTTACATTTTATTAAATCTTTCTATTTCCTCATCTATAAAATAAGGAATATAGCATATGTCCATAAAGGTATATTATAAACATGAATACACAGGTTAATCCCCAATGAAGTATTAGCTCCATGAACAGAGATAATCTGTTTTATTCACTAATGTAACCTTACAGTATGGTACTGTACCTAGCATATAATCCACCATTACTGAGTGAATTCTGACTCATAGTAACCCTATGGGACAGAGTAGAATTGTCTCCTGGGATTTCGGAGGTTGTGGATCTTCAAAGAAACAGATAGCCTCATCTTTCTCCTGAAAAGGGATTGTTAAGTTCAACCATTCACTTTTTGGTTAGGAACCAAATGCCTTAGCTACAGTGTCACCAGGGTGTTTTAGCATATCAAAGAACATTAATATAAATTTTGGGTAAATAAGATACTATATTAGATAACACACTGATTTCTTAGTAGATCATAGACATCTCTTGAATAACTATTTCTCATTTAATCATTCTCTCTATATGATATGTGGTATTATTAGCCCCCACTTTTTAAAAAAATTACTAGTTTTCTGTGTATGTACCGTCAAATCAGATCTGAGTGGTACAGGGGGAGATTGCCCCTCCTTCTCCAGCAGAGCATCTGGTGGATCTGAACCATGTATCTCTGGGATTACAGTGCATCTTCTTGCCACTAGGCCACCAGAGCTCCTACTCCCCACTTTTATAGAAATAATGAAAATTGTTGGGCACAAGAAAGGTTTGACACTTGCAAAAGCTTATCCAGTTAAGTGTTAGAAACAAGATTTAACTCATCCAGTCTGACTACCCAATAAAACTCTGATATGTTATATTTTCAAGGAGAAGATGCTTAATTATCTTATTTTCCTTCTTTAGCATAAAATAGCTCACAGATAGCTTGCTCAGTAGGAGAATATAATTACATCCTTAAGAACAATCTGGCATGAATGATACAGAGAGAAGTCTATGAAGAGAGAAGAAAGGATTGATTTTTAAATTGTTTCTGAATTAATGACTGAGAATTGTGATTGTTCAGTTATGTGGTATCGATTTTGAATTATCCTAAGAGTTTATGTAGTGAGTGACCATTTTTTAGCTTATAAGCCATTTTGGGAAGAACCAAGAATTCCTATTCCTCCCAATCTCCTAAGATACTGGTTCCATTCTTGTGACTTTGGTGCCCTCTGACTACCCTTAAAGAAGTCTCATCCTTTAGAGACTGGTTCCCTACACAGAAGTCACAGTGCTTAGTTACCTAGAATTCTAAAAAGCCCCGAAGGATTTAGCAGAATGATATTTCCTTGAATTTTATCCTAGAATTAAGGGGCTTCTACAATTCTTCTATATAAACATTAAAATCTATTTTAGTCTTTTAGAAGTCCTACTAATTACAAGTTGCATTCTAAATTTTCTTACTTTCAGTGGTGCATAATATTTTACTGTGTGAATGTACCATATGTTTTCTACCCATTCATTTGTTTATGGGCACCTTAGCTGCTTCCAGCTCTTTGTTATTGTGATTAACACAACAACAAACATGGGTGTGCCTACATACGTCTTTTTGAGTTGTGGCTCTGGTTTTTTTCCAGAGTATATTCCCAGTAGTGGAATTGCTGCATCAAATGGTATTTCTATTTTCAACTTTTGGAGAACATTCCAGACTGCAACCAATATTACACAGCATCAAAAAACAATGAACTCCTAAAACATTACACCAAGTGAGTGAGTCTGGAAGACATCATGCTGCGTGAAATACCTCAGTCACAAGAGGACAGATACTACATAAAATCGCTGTTATAAAGTATGACTGACATGAAGGATTGAGAGAAGAATCAGAAAAGAGTGGATAGATAATGAATACTGCTTTAGAAAAGATGAGGAGAAGAACTGCCTGAGAGGAATATGTGATTACATTATACGTATGACAACAATTTGGAACAAGAGGTGCTTTGCAATGGGGATTAGGGGAGGTGAAAGAAGGGGAAAGGGAGGAAAATATACAGCAACGAAAGAAAAAAAAATTAAGGTTATTTACTTTTTCAATATAATTGTTGCGTGTACCCTTGAGTTGGAATCGACCCATAACCGACCCTCTCGGTAGGTTTTCAGAGGCATTAATTCACACAGGAGATTGCCCATTCTTCTCCTATGGAGAAGCTAGTGGATTCAAACCATGTGCCTTTGGGATTGTAACACAGCTTCTTACAACTAGGCCATCAGTACCTTCAAGACATCATACCATGTTTCCCACCCAAAGCATACAATGGCACTTGAGTTAGAACTTTGTTGAGCAGCTTCTTTAGAATTCTACATACTAACCAAGGTAAGTTTGAATGTATGGGATGCCTTATACTGAGATAGGGAAGGATAGGAATAGCAATAACAAAGAAAGCAGTTTTTGTAACATTTATCAAGTACTCACTATAGTTAATACATAGTTCTAGTACTTTAAATAAACTCTTACTGAATAATTTGGACTCATTTCATCCTCATGTTAGATTGTGGAAAGTAAGGCATAGAGGGTTAAATAAACACCAATATTGCAAACTACTATAAAGCTATAAAATCTGACAAGAATGACTTAGTCACCACTCTCATTTGAAAAGTCTTATGAAAACCAGCTTCTCACATGTGATTTCCAAGTTTTCTACTCATTTTTGTATTATTTTATTATCTAGAAGATTATAATTTTCAAAGAATCGTTTATGTTCTCCTCCTGTTAGCCATCATGTCTGGGGTCAACTGCTCCAGCCTGACCCCGGGATTCTTCATCTTGAATGGCATTCCTGGGTTGGAAGCTGCACACATCTGGATCTCCCTGCCATTCTGCTTCATGTATGTCATCGCTGTCATAGGGAACTGTGGGCTCATCTACCTCATCAGACATGAAGAAGCTCTGCATCGGCCCATGTACTACTTCCTGGCCCTGCTCTCATTCACTGACGTCACTCTGTGCACCTCAACTGTACCAAATATGCTATGTATATTCTGGTTCAACCTCAAAGAGATTGACTTCAATGCCTGCCTAGTCCAGATGTTTTTTGTCCACATGTTGACTGGGATGGAGTCTGGGGTGCTTATGCTCATGGCCCTGGACCGCTATGTGGCCATCTGCTATCCCTTACGCTATGCCACCATCCTCACCAACCCTGTCATTGCCAAGGCTGGTCTTGCCACCTTCCTGAGGAGTGTGATGCTCATCATGCCATTCACCTTCCTCACCAAGCGCTTGCCCTACTGCCAGAACAACTTCATCCCTCACACCTACTGTGACCACATGTCTGTGGCTAAAGTATCCTGCGGCAATTTCAAGGTTAATGCTATTTATGGCTTAATGGTTGCTCTTCTGATTGGTGTGTTTGACATCTGCTGTATCTCAGTGTCTTACACAATGATCTTGAGGGCTGTCGTGAGCTTGTCATCTGCAGATGCTCGTCACAAAGCCTTCAGCACCTGCACCTCTCATATCTGTGCCATCGTGATTACCTATGTCCCAGCCTTTTTCACTTTTTTCACTCACCGTTTTGGGGGACACATTATCCCACACCACATCCACATCATTGTGGCCAACCTTTATCTGCTCTTACCTCCTACAATGAACCCAATTGTTTATGGAGTAAAGACCAAGCAGATCCGGGAAGGTGTGATCAGATTTTTATTTGGAGATAAGACTGTCTATACATAAGAGAACCAAATTATCGAATAGTTTCATTTGCTTAAGGAGGAAAAGAAAGAGGAGAAAGGGCAAAGAAAGGAAGACGTGAGTAAAGTGGTATTTAAAACGAGCCATTCTGAGCCATTTTTCTGAAGCCTTTGCAAGTATGAAGCAGAGAATCAATGTTTCTTGTCAGAAAATAAGTCGATGTGCTGAAGATGAAAATATAGAAGTCACATAGCTATTCTTTGTACAGATTAAGGTTTACATGAAAGTTTTTAGATAGAGGAGTGTGGGTTAGATTGAGGGGTGTCACACATATGTGGACTGTGTGAGAAGAGGGAGACGGTAGTGACATGGAGTGAGTATATCCTTTCCATCAAGACAGACTCTAATTAGATCGAGCACATTCTTGCCCTGTGTAAGGAGGGCTCAGTATTGCAATATCTTCCAGTATTTGTAAGACAATCCAGATTCAGATGTAGAATTTTTATAAAGTTATTTTTATTATTAGGTATAGTATCTTTAAAAATACTTTCTAATTTGTACAAGGCAGATCTGAAAATTTTGTTCTCCCTAGAACCTACTTAGAACCCATGAACCTCTGTTTAAAATGAACCTAAAAATGTCATTGTTATTTTATCAGTCAACACAGCAAAAGCATTTATTGGATTATTATTGTATGTTAGAAGTAATTCACTCACGCACCCACTCATTCTTTCTTTCTCATGTAAGACTTATTATTGGCCTCATTAGAATTAATCTTTCCAGTACTATTAAAATTGAACTCATAACAAAGAGGGAATTTAATAGAAATGTACATGAAACATTCTGCTCTAATAAAAACAGGGAGCTTACCAGATGAAAATTCCGAAGTCATGGTAAATCTTTTAGACTTATGTTCATTGCCAACTGTGCTATGTAATTCTAGAACTATCTTGTTGGGAAACACTCTGCCTGATATACAAAGAAATTTCTAATACATAGTTTTTATGAACTTTTCTCACGTTCACAAAGTCTTTAATTTTTTCCTCATTGTCAAGCAAGGACCAGAAAAATCTTATTTTAAAAAATTCTTTATTTCATACACTATTTATTCCTTTTCAATTCAAAGAACTTATTTCTCCTCTCATGATGGGCAAGTTACATTCTTAAACAACTTTTGTGATTCTTTTATAACCTCTATATCATGAGTGCACTTTCTCCTTGTCTACCTGTACCATTCTACGTCCTTTAATAAATACTGCAAGCCCTTCTCTTACTTTTTTACTCTTGACTACGTCTGTTTTTGTGATTACAGGTCTCTTTGTACTTTCTTTGTTGATTGATTTCACACTTACCTTTCTTATTTTATTGCTTTCTTTTGTGATTATAAACTTCCAACAGTGTTTAAAAGAGATATCTAATGCATAATTGTAAGGTTTAAAATGTTAAAAATAATAAATTATTACTTTAAAATGCATCAAGAATCAGATGAAAAGATTTACTATTCCCTTTACTTTCCATAAGTCCTTAGTCCTTAGAGTAACAATTTGATTTTTTTCTTCCAAACACATTCAGTGATTGTTTCTCTTGTGTAGGGTCTCTAGATAGTACAAATGGTTTTCTCTCATGCACTAGTCAAAAGGTTGGTGGTCATACTCACTCAGAAGTACTGCTGAAGAAAAGGCCTGAAAATCTGCTTGTGTTAAGATGACAGCTTAGGAATGTCCACTATGCAGTTCTGCTCTGTAACACAGTAGGGTACATTAGTTATAACTGACTCAAAGTAACTATCAGTACAAGAAATACTCTTTTGAATAAATTATCTTTGTGATAATCAACACTCTCTACAATTGTGTGGTACATTCTACATATCCTTTTTCCCCCCCCAAGGTCACAAATACCTTTAATGAGGTGTTTTTATTTCATTTGCATTTAATTAGTTTTTTTATGTAACTCTAATTTATTTACAAAGTTTGAATACATTGTTTTTCACAAAAGATCCTTCCCATTTTCTTCACCCCACTCACCCATCGAATTATGCAAACCTATGACTAACACCCTACCCACCATCCTGACCCCTCTATTCCCACCCCCACTCCCCACCTTGGATCATCATACTCATTCTAGAATAATGGTTTTATACAGTATTTGTCCTTGTGGGACTGAGTTAGTTCACTCAGCATAATGCTCTCCAGTCCCTCCCAAATTAGGTAGTAATTCACAAAATGATTGATCCTGCATATATATTCTTGAAAGCATTCAGCTGTCTCTCCCTCCTGTACCAGTTTCCCCTTGCTCCAAATCATGATATTCCATATGTAATAATACTACAGCAATTATTTTTATTAAAAGAAAATTAATAAAAACTAAAAGGGGAAAAAAACAGTCTCCAAATTGACACATAACTCTTATTCTTTTTAAAAAATTCTAAAAAGTATTTTCAGTACATAGAGCCACAGCACTTGGAAGATTTAATGTTTTTATTTTTATTGTTGTTGTTGATTGACTGAGTTGAGCACGACTCATAGTTACCCTCTGAACAAAAGGCCTGAAGCCCTTCTGCAATTATTGACATTTATCAAAGTTCATAGCATTTCTGGAGGCATATTGCTTAGGAAGTATATGTCACTCCTGTTTCTAAACCTGTCATAGAATGTTATTGGTTAAGTAATCTGTCATGCATAGCAACCCTATGTACAGTAGCTTTGAACCGTTCCCTGTCCTGATCCAGTCTCACTAAATCTGACCAAAAAAAATCCCCAACGCCCCAGTCACTGTACCTATCCAACTCATCCTGGGTCTTCCTCTCCTGCACTGTCCATCCACCCTTCCAAGCATGATGTCCTTCTCCAAGGACCTATCTTTCCTGGCCACATGCCCAAAGTAAGTGAGGTGGGGCTTCAAAATCCTAGCCTCCAAGGAGAGACTTGGTTTTACCCTCTTAAGACAAACATATTTGTTTTCTTGGCAGTTCATGGTATGTTCAAGACTCTTCTCCAGCACTACAACTCAAAGGCATTTATTCTTCTGTCATCCTTAGTCACTGTCCAACTCTCTGAAGCATAACAAGTAATTGAGAAGACTATGGCCTGGATTAGGTGCACCTTTGTATCTATACTGACATCATTGCTCTTCATAACTCTGGAGAGGTCCATGACAGCAATTTTCCCAATGCAATTCGTCTTTTGATTTCCTGACTGCTGGTGCTAATGACCAAAATGGATGTCAGAAGAAACTCTGAAATTTACACTAGAATGTTGAGGAGGGAAGGAGGGAAGGAGGGAAGGAGGGAGAGGGGAGGGAGAGAGAGAGAGAGAGAGAGAGAGAAGAATCATAGAGTAAAAGAGATGAACAGATTTCAAAAGGCAGCTTACAAAGACAAAGCAAAGTAAGCAAAGTATTATAGTGAAATTTGCAAAGAGTTGGAGTTAGAAAATCAAAAGAAAAGAACTCAGTGGGCATGTCTTAAGCTGAAAGAACTGAAAAAACAAATCCAAACTTCGAGCTGCAATACTGAAGGAAACTATGGGCAAAATCTTGAATGATACAGGAAGAAAATGGAGAGAATATACAGAGTCACTACATCAAAGAGAATTTACTGACAAGGAACCATTTCAAAAAGCAGTTTATGATCAAGAACCGATGCCAATGAAGGATAAAATTCAAGATACACTCAAGGCATTGGCAAAAAATAAGGCCCAGGAATTGATAGAATATCAATTAACATATTTCAACAAACAGATGCAACAAAAAGATGTTTATTTTTGTTTTACTGACTGTGCAAAGGCATTTGACTGTGTGGATCATAACAAATTATTGGTAACCTTGAGAAGAATGGAAATAACAGAATACTTAGTTGTGGTCATGTGAAACCTATACCTAGGTCAAGAAGCTGTTGTATGAACAGAACAAGAGAACACCGCATAATTTAAAATCTGGAAGGGTGTGTGTCTAGACTGTATCCTTTCTCCATACATATTCAATCTGTATGCTGAGAAAATAATCTGAGAGGGTGGACTTTATGAAGAGGAATGTGGCATCAGGATTAGAAGACACAGCAACAATCTGCATTGACACACTATGCAGATGAAAAATCTTGCTTGCTGAAAGTGAGAAGGACTTGCAACACTTGTTGCAGAAGATTAAAGACGATATTCTTCAATATAGATTAAATTTCATATCAAAAAGGCAAAAATCCTCACAGCTGGGCCAATAGACAATATCATGATGGATGGATAAAAAATGAAGTTGTCAATGATTTCATTGTTTTTAGGTCTACAATCAACACTCTTGTTACCAAATGTCAGGAAATCTGCCAAGGATCTCTCCAAGGTATTAGCGTTACAGTTGGGGCTAGGGTTAGAGAAATGATATCAGTTTGAAGACCAAGGTATATCTGATTCAAGCCATAATCTTTTAAATTACTTTCTGTGCATCTGAAAGTTGGACAATAAATAAGGATGACAGAAGAAGAATCGATGCCTTTGAGTCGTGGTGTTGGAGGAAAGCACTGAATACCCCATGGACTGCCAAAAGAACAACAAATATGTCTTGGAGAAAGTAAAACCACAGTGATCCTTGAGGCAAGAAGGTTGAAACTTCATCTCAAATATTTTGGACAAGTTGTTAGGAGAGTCCATTCTTTGTTAAGGACATCACTCTTAGAAAGGTGGTGGAGTTAAACCCTATATTTGAATAAAATATTATCTCATAATTTAGTACCTAAAAAAATCAACACTTCTCAGCATCAATAGCCAAAGTCAAGGTCTAGAATGAGGTTTTGGTCACTAAATATTTATTGTGACTCATATTTTAAATCTTTGGGCTTTCTTATTGTTGAAACTCTAATTTAAAAAAAGGAGAGTGTCCTATAGTTATTGTTAATGACCGTAAGAAGGAGTTTTCCAGAAAGAGACAAATTCCACCAAAGACACTCTTGAATTGGGCTGGAGCTTAAATGCAGGTTAAATTAGAATCGCTACCTCAGTGTTTAAGAAAATAGACAATACTGTTTATTCAGCTGATGATTCAAACACTGGTAATTG